GCTACCACCGAGCCTCCACCCGACTGCACCATTACAAACTTTACCTGCTCATAAGTTGCTTGTGGAATGCACGTTGCAGTTTTGCTATCTATATTTGTTAATAGCCTTATAGACTCTATCGATCCACCTAGGTCTCCATTCAAAGTTCCATGGTAAGTTGGCGACCTTCCCTGGTTAGAACTTATAATCGATTTGCATAGTGTGTCTGAGACTTGTGGTCATCAAGAAAATTCCGGACACTGCCATTTTTCTGTATCTGCGTAATACTGTATAATGTTTAGATCTCTTCGACAACAAACTTTCCCGTTGGCGCAGGTCTCGCATCATCAGCTGCAGGTTTTGCAGCCATTGCCTTTGCAATTGGCACATTATTTGATCTTCCAGTTGCGGATATATCAGCTCTAGCAAGAAGAGGTAACCACTTTTCTATACACAAGTCTTAGTCCAAACAGAAACTGGCAGACCTTCATCCTTCTTTTTCTTTCAGGATCAGGAAGTGCATGTCGGAGTGTGTACGGGGGATTGGTGGAGTGGGAAGCTGGATGTGATCCTTCTGGTGTTGACTCAGTTGCCAAAGTAAGTCCAGTACAACGTTTACGTTGCTCACCGCTCTTGGGGAAATCTTATGGTTTCGGTGCAAATTTTGGGCTTGTAACGCCATTTCGAGCTTGTCTTTTGCCACCCTAGCTGCAATACTGACCTAGTGTCGATGACCTGGTTGGGAAACAACTGTAGTGAAAAGCCTGTTTCATTCCTCTAGGGCCCACCTGTTTTACAAGCTATGAAACTTGCTAGCAGTAACATTTATTTAAAAGCACGCTCCGCGAGCTTTGCGGTTCAAGTATTTACTCATGACAATGTGGTAAATGGCACAAAATGGGCAAAAAAAAGCGAAAAAAATGCTTAAAATGCTCCATATACGACAGCTTGCTGTATCGCGCTGTACGTGCACAAGGCAAAACAGGGCACATCATTGGTTGGGGATCTTAGTCGAGTCTGTACGACCCCCCCCCCATTTTTCTCCCTTTTGATGTTGCGACGACCTCCCCCTCTCCTGGCGGCCAAATACGCCCCTCCCTCCCCTATTGGGGATTCTCCAACAACAATGTCCCCTGGGGCAAAAAGAGGGGCGTGCTTGGATGAGTTCCCACTCGCTGGTGTCAGCAAGTGAGGAGGGAATGCGACTCGTCCAACCCGCCTTTTCTTTCTCCTTATCACCTCACTCGCACCACTCGAAATGAAGAGAGCTAGGTAGCGGAACAGCGCTCTCCACAAAGCCTCAAGGAATGGAAGTTGGGCGTTGCGATGGTCAGGGGACGGGCGATCCTCACGTATTTTTGAGCTGACAGAAATGCTTGGGCAGGACATCATGTCCAAAGAAAGGCGACTGAACATCAGATGAATGCGGGGTATGTCTCTACTGCGACGTGCCATGATAAAACTACAACAACAGGCAAGGTGTTTAGGTATCCTGACCTCAATTTAGCGGCGCACAATATGATAATCTTGTCAAATTTCTCTTTATTCTAGCAGCGTTTGCCTGAAACAACGTGGCCTGAGCTTCGCGTTGTTGTGCTGGTACTCGATGACTCGGAAAAAGAGGTTGGTAGCAGTGAAGGTATGCGACGTACGGTGCTGACAAGCGAACTGATGCACCACCGTGCCAACGTTGTTGTTCCAGAGAGAATCAGGAGGTTCGTTGTTTATTTGTTTGTTTTTGTTTGTTTGTTGATTATATTTCTGACAGAGTGATATTTAGGTTGATTCACGCATTCCAGTCACATGATTTTCCTGAATTTGGACGCATCGTTATGGCCGATAGTAACCAACTTCATGCTGTTTGTATGGATTCATTCCCACCTCTTAAGGTATGTTTTACGCTTTTTCCGAGTCGTGGCGAGTGCGGCGTAGGGTAGGCGCAGCAGGGGGGGGGGGTAACGTACGCATTATTCGCACCAAGACCCAATCCACTAAACGTAGCAGCCTGCCATACTTCGACTCTCTGCGTCGGCGTCTGTTAAGACGACTAGCTCTCCTTGTGCCTGTCTAGTCAGCTAGCTAGGAAATTCTCTGCGTTTCTGCCGCGACGCAGCGACTGGTAAGTAACGCTCCACTCCCGAGTCGACTAGCTAGGAAATATTAGCTAGTTTATTCGTATCGTCCTAATGGTAGGTCCCTATACCGATACCCATAGTAACCCTTTAGCACTGCACTTGTTTCTATCGCTGATCCTGCTGACTTCTTCTTACTTTCAGTACTTGTCGGATGCATCATGGCATGTCATTAGAACAGTGAATGAGTTCAATGCTGAGAGCGGGATTCGTGCAGCTTACACCTTCGACGCTGGGCCAAATGCGTGCGTTTTTGTAGAAGAAAAAGATTTGAAGGCATTTCTAGAGCAACTTTGTCAACAGTTCGTTGTTGCTGAAGATATCGTAGCCAATTTTTCACAAGCGGCAGGTGATTTCAGTTGCAAAGCTGCTCCTAGGACTTCTTTTGCCATTAAAAATGTCGTCGTTAGTAAGGTTGGTGGACCACCGAGAACTGTTTCATAACTTATGTCGTGTCTGATTCGCGGGTTGCTTTAGCGACTTTTCGCTCTCGTTTGGCCCTTCTTCCGGTATAGCGTCCCCTGAACACTATGCTAACATCGCATATTCCAGTTGTCAATATACGAAAGACCACCCGAACTGTTGCCCCTGGGTCCACGTTTGCGCTTTCGTAGCTTTAGGTGCTCTGGCACCAGCCTCGTTTGCGCCCTCCTGCTTACCTATGCGCTCTAATCTTGCGCGGCATGGCAGCTAGTTGTATCATATCCAGGGCATGTTGTGATCTCCAGTCTCCATTCCCTTGAAGACAGTGGTCACAATGGTCGGAAGCGGGCGGTTGCTGCCATCGTCATTGGTGCAAGGGCTGAGAGTGGACGTTTGGCCACACTTCATCAAACCTTCCAGCAGGATGGCAACAACCGCCCGCCCACCCATAAGGCTGCGTTTATACTTTGCGGCAGCGTAGCGTAGCGCTTCCAGCGTACGCCAGCGGCAGTGTCGGGGAAAGGATAGATATCGATCTAGCGTTCCCAGCGTCACCAGCGTACGCTAGCGGCACGCTAGCGTGCGCTAGCGTGCCGCTAGCGTACGCTGGTGACGCTGGGAACGCTAGATCGATATCTATCCTTTCCCCGACACTGCCGCTGGCGTACGCTGGAAGCGCTACGCTACGT